CGACGATGATGACGACGCTCGACCTCGCCGCGCGCATTGGCGCCTATCCCGCAAAAATTTTTTCAGCACCGCAAAAATTTTGCAGACTTGTAGGAATATGCGATATTCAACATCGACACATCTGCGCATTATTTACAATATACAATTAACACAAAACAACATGTATATATTTAGCAATATTTGGCACTCTTATTCAACAGAAGTTATTGAAATCTTAAAATTTGCAGGTACATACAGTAATATCTAAATTTTGTGAAGACGATGCGGGATTAATTGAAGCGCTGCGAGGGAAAATGAGAGAATTTTATGAGTTTTCCTCACGTTGCGACGCCGTCGTGCGTGACGCTCGACCTCAATGAACGCGCGCGCGTCAAGGGGAGGGAAAAAAAGGATCGCAAGAAACGCGGGCGATCCGCGAAAGGATGTCGCGGTTCCGGTGACTGAATGTTGCACGAGGACGGGGCACCAGCAACGAACAAAAAATGAAAGAACTCGGGGATGTGACGAGGGCTCCAGGATACAAAAACAAGGGGCAATCTAGTTGGGGTGGGCAACGGTGCATGGATCGAAGCGCTCTATGGGAACGAAAAATTGCATAGGAAATCGGTGGAACGCAACATGAGATCTTGATTTTATGTGGAGACAATCCGACGTGACATCGATAAATTAAATACTAAGCTTGTAAAGCCAGCGATCCATGAACCGTGTCTAGTGAATATTTTTTAAATATTCTGAGAATTTCTTGATAATAATATAGAATAATTTAAAAAACAGCCTAAAAATATTTTTTTAAATATATCCTCTAAATATATATTTTTATTTGTATAAAGAAAAATTAAATTATTTTAAAAATATCAAAAATCACTGTTCTTTTCATGGTTTTCCCTATAAAAGATTTCAGCATGAAAGGTTAGAGATGCTATTCCGATGCTAATAATCTTCTCAGTGAGGAAACAAGAATATCCTATGAATATTCTGAGAAAATTCTTTACGAACGAATATATCCTGAGACTCCTTTCTCGGAATGAGATTATACCGAGAAACCTTCTCCTATGTACTCATAGATCGCTCGTCCCGTTAGGGACGGGCGGCACCCTTATTCTCGCTTCTTTCTTTCCATCATGGTTTCCGACAGAAGCCTTCGAAGCTTTCTGCAAGAGTTGCCATCAATTTAACTTCACCTTACTCGTTTAGAAAAATTTCCCCAGATATTTCAGAGTGCTCGGTTATGCTCTCGCTTTTCCCTTCTTTGGGGGGAAGTTTGCTTACTACCTGAATTCGAACAGGTACAAACAAGATGCGGCAGGTGTAACTAGGACGACACTCGTTTCGAACTTGCAGTCGCATGGAGTAGCATGGAGCACAGGAACAAGTGCACACGCAAGTGCAGTGGGGTTGCAAAATCTCTTTTTTTCTTGTGTGTGTGTGTGTGTGTGTGTGTGTGTGTGTGTGTGTGTGTGAGTGTGTGTGTGTGTGTGTGAGTGAATGCAAGGACAAAAGGAGCCGGATCGAAAGAATCGAACGAGCCGCACAAATAAATCCTTACGCCCTTCCCCGACTTTGACCTTCGTTTAACATTGAAAGAGAGAAGGAAAAAGGGAGCATTGTTGAATATTTGACATTTTTTTTGAATGACGATCACAGAAGAATGTGCTACAACGCACCCGGAGGGCTACATCTAAGAATGAAGCGGCATCGTTTCAAAAATCGATCGACTAATTGAATCATGGACTTAGATAGAAAGAAAGAGAGCGAGAAAGTGAGAGAGAGGGGAAAAAGAGAGCGAGGCATGAGCCTGAATGCATAGAGGTTCGGAACAATTCTTGGAATGATCATAACGGCAAACTATTTCATTCAAAAAAAAAAATTTTATATGCGTGGACATTGTACTTGAAATTAATCGATTAACGTTAACGCTGTTTAATAATATTTTTAAGTTAATTTTAAGTTAATAAATTTATGCAAAACAAATATTATTACGTTACAATTGTATCATTGCAAAGATGGTATATTTTTTAAATGAAAATTGTTCATCAAAAGAAAAATGAAAGAAAAATACTTAAATATTATAATTTTCTATCCTAATCATTCCTAATGGCTTCAATTTACGACCCTAAGCTGCTTCTCATTTAAAGATCGTTATTATTAGAAATTTCTAAAGAATGATTCAAAGACGATAAAAACTTCCTGTAGGACAAATAAAACATACGATAACAAAGAAAATTCCATTTAGTTAGTTTTAAATATATTATGTTTTTTTCTAATATATTTATGACGAAAATAAATGCAACCATATGGTCGAGCATAATAAATACTGAAAGCTTTAAAAGCAAAGGACTAATATTTTATGTGATTAAAACATGACAATACAGTAAGTAGGCATTTTACATTTTTTGAGTATATACTCATATTAATTTAAAACAACCGTATAATAATCATTAACTTTATATAACATGTACACTTAATTATATTATTTTTATCAATTTTTCGTATGTACTAAAACATTAAATAGAAAAAATTAACGTCACGTTTTTTATCTGGGAAATATCCAAAATTAAATCAGCTTTTAATTACAAAAAAATTTCCATAGATAAGTGGCAGCAATCTGTGGTATCTCTTCTTACAGTCACAATCATGCTTGCGGTGCACGAACGTACGCAATTTACCCTATCTTTCTGAAAATCAAAACTTCAACAAGTTAGCAAGAGTGCAAACCGCTGTACAAGAGTCTCAACATTCTTGTAACGGATACATCCTGACAATCGCACGGTTGTAAATCCGCACACGTAAAAGAAAAGAAGATAAGGGAAGGGAAGCAAATACTTCACAGTAGTTCTGACCGTTACATGGGCAAATTTCGTAAATCGCTTGCATTTTTCGAGGCAAAAGAGCTGACCACAAAAAAGTTTTCTTAAGCATAAGAAAACGCCATTGAAAATAGAAGAATAACTTTTTTGGTAAAATTGCTCTCGAATTAAGAAAAGCATGTATAAACTAAAGATATAAATAATTCAGAACACCCTGTATAAGCTTGCGTGATGTACAAGGAATTAATCGTAAGATAAAGCTTACCGGTAATAGATTCGATGATATGGATTTTGACACGGTCCAAGTACGACTGAATGTACATTAATTAACGAAAGGAAACAGGAACGGCGAAGAGACGCGTAACGCAGACTATGATTTCAGTTTCACGGTGGAAGAACGGGGAAAAGGAAACCCTCGTCGTTCTATAGTTGCGATACACGGAAACCCTTTTTCTCGGTTCAGGGAACACCCCCCAGTTTTTTCTATTCCAAACTTTGCATTATTCAAAAAGAGAAAATAATCAGATAATGTGGGAAGTATATAAAAAAGGCCAAAAGTCAAAAAGTTAGGAAAATTTTCCATTCGAATGATTACAGAGGGAGCAAAATGTCAGATGGTAAAAATTCAGATAGAAAACTGATAGGAATCGTATCGGGAAATTAGAGACTCGAGAAGAAATACAAGTCTCTAAAATCTCAAGAGATTTCAGAAAACGTCGAAGATTAGAACAAATTAACAGGAAGCTGGATATTCGCTGGAAGTTGAAGTTCGCGATGAATTCAGGTTTAAAAAATCAGCGTATTCGATGCGTGAAGTATATATTAACCCTCTGTTGCTGTTTATCTACGTCCTCCCTTCGTCATGACTACCATCATCATCATCATCATCATCATCATCATCATCATCATCATCGCCACCATAATTGGCGCCGCTTCAACCCCTCGCGGGTACCGCGATAAAATCGTCACGGTACTCTTAATCAGGAGAGAGGGAGAGAGCCCGCAGGAAGTCGCATGTAAATTCTCATCGGAACGCACGTGGGTACGGTCGACGTGTCGACGCTTCGTTGCGTGCACGCACTTGTCGCCCGCGTGTATCGCAGCCCTCGGCGCTCTCTCCTCTCCCCCGCCCTCGTTTGCCAAGCTCTCCTTATCCCAATGCTTTTCGAATCTAGTACATTTTTTATGAAGCCGACACACTCAAGAGTCCTCGAACGAGGATGTGAGATTACATCGAACGAGATATTTCACGATTATTAAACATAATTTATTTAACATAATTGAAGAAATAATTAAACAAAAATAAATACCGTTACGAAGAGATTTCTACATAAAAAAAAAATTTCTAAAAAATATCTATTTTAAATAGTTTTTAAACATGACTAAAGGGAAGTAATTCAGTGACTTGTTATTGTAGAAGACATTGTTAGGAAGATTACGAGAGCCTAGAAGAAATACAAAAGTGTTTCACATTTACCGAACGCGCACGTAACTCGCAGCTGTAATTTACACAGCGGAATTTAATTACTAAGATAGTTTTTCAACTTGAGTTTAAAAAAATTTCAGATATCCCGGATATTCGAACGACTGGAAAAATTGTGAAGGAAACGATTTACGTAACCATGTATACGGGGTGTCATTATCGGCGCTCCTCCCATAGACGAGAGAGGCGTGGCAATAGAGTTCCGTGACACCTCGTGTGTGCAATAAACACTCGAAATCTCATGTGAAGGCCCTCGGTACCGAGTTGTGAAACGCGGAGCCAAGTCCAATCGAGACTCGAGTGTGTCTATATCTTCAAGATAACGCGAATCCCTGTTAACTGTATCGAGATAACTTGGATAGAATTCGTCGGAACCCGCGGCATAACACGTATTTATCATCATAAAATTTTGGTTTTAAGATTAAAACAGTTGAAATACCATGTTTTGCGCGCACGCGCGCGCTTAAACATGTTGCCAAAGAAGATAAGGATAATTTTCAAAATAAAGAAGTAATCTCTCTCTTATACACACCCAGTTAATTCCAAAGAACATTCTCGTATCTCTCTTTTTTCTCGAACATTTCCGTCCCGCGTGACACGCGATCCATTTTCCCTCTCGCACGAAAAGTTTCCCCGGAAAAGATCACGAGACACGGCACTGCGCGCGTTTACACGCATACAAACTCGGCATACAAAGTGCAAAAACTCACCCACACACCGGCAGCACCCCGACGTGACTCACGAACACGTCGCGCATCCACAGGCAGCGCCTCCTTCTAGGGGCGCGCGGGGGAACGCACAGGTAGCACAATTGTCGTTATCACACCACAAAATTCCGTCGATCGACTTAATTATGGCGCGACAGAGGGCATCAATGTCCGTTCATTCCTCTCCCGCCCCTCTCCTTCCTACGAAGAGGAGCACGGAATGCCAGACACGTGCTCCAATATCGAACCACGCCGCGCAGTGTCGTCCGAAACTCCACCTGATATCGCACGTTACGATATTTAGGGCATGAACGAGAGGAGAATCGTGGACGAGGATCGCTGCGGATGATCGCGACGAGATGCAGAGGACACAACGTTCACCAGAGAAAAAAACTGAACGGAGCGAAGTGGCACGAGGTACACGCACGCACGCACGCGGCTTCAATGAGTGCGACTGACGACTGCGAGAGGGAGGATGCCCGGCGGACAGACAGACAGACAGACGGACGGACGGACGGACGGACGGACGGACATGGCCGAAGACGACCGAGCTCCACCGAGTGGGCTGAAGTCGGCCTCGACACCCCGGGGCGTATCGGCGCCTATGGGCAGCGCCGTAACCGCGCGACACGTCGAGGGAGCGGTGGCGGGTAAGGGGAAGCTAGAGCGGCAGCACGGAAAGAGGGGGACAGGGGGGAAGAAGAGAGGAGAGAGGGGAAGGATTTACGCAACCCTCTCCCGAGCGAAAAATCCACGTCGAGAGAAGCACGCCGCCCGTCGATGCGCCGATAAGCCACGTAGTACCCTCGCTCCACGCGTTCTCCGTCTCTTTCCTTCTTAGGGGTAGCAGGGGAAGAGGGAAGGGGAAAGAGAGAGAACGTGAGTTCTTCTGTATCGCGGTTTCACTTCGTAGAAAAGAAACTACCTCAAAACTAACCTCTTCCGTTCTGCCCTGCCGATTCGCCGCTGTTAACCCTTCCGACGTAGCCACGTAGGAGCGCGCGGCATACACATACGCATAAACACAGAACACACGCGCGAGCGCAACACACACCCGCCCGTAGCAACTCACGGGGCTAAGCACCGCGCACGAACGCACCACATA